GACAAAAAAAAAAAAAAAAAAAGAAAAAAAAAGAAAACCCAAATAGAATGTAGTAATAATCTTTAACATAAGCCAAAATCATATCTTACCAAATGATATGAACATACTAGGAAGTTGAAGATCATCTCCCGCTAACCTTCAACCTTTAGAAAGCTCATACCATTTGACACTTAAGTGTTTGGTTAAAAATCTTAAATAAGTGATTTGACGAAAAACATATTAGAAATCTTAAACTAAGAGATTTGAAAATAATAATAATAATAATAATGGTGGTGATTCAAATAGCACTAGAATCTCAAATTTACCCATTCTTATTTCTCATACTTTTTAGGAACAATAATCCCAACCACTAAATCTACGAAAATAGAGTCAGAATCAAAACTAGTTACCAAAATGAGAAACACTGCAGAACAAACCGTTAAAGACGGATTTTAAAATATTAAAGATATTTCGCTTGTTTGGGGCAATGCTAAAGATAGAACAAGAGAAAAGTTGGCCACTCCAAGCCAAAAAAGTTTTCAAACAGAAATATATATAGTGAATGTGATTTGAAATCTAACTCCTATGCATAATAGCAAGAAAAATCAATGGAAGGGCTGCAATAGAAACAAACACTTATCACAGAAGTGTAACATTAAGGTTCCAAACATGGGGAAGAAAACAAAGAAACAGCTAACCAGTTTTTTTCATATTTTTGCTACAACTAAATAGAAAAACTACAACACTTATCTTGCAAAAAATTACAGTTAGGTGTCTGTACAAATTTCTCAAAGGATCTAATGTATGCTTTCTAGAGAGTTAGATTGTAGCTTCAATTTAAGACAATATATTAAGGTTTATTTTAAGATTGTAGGTTCGTACTAGGTCATGCAAGCATAGGTCATTTTAGAATCATACAACATATAAGGAAGAACTATATAACATAACATACCTTAAAAGTTGAAAAACTTCGCCGATCACTGCAAAATCTTCAAGAAGCTAGGAAACTAATTTTCAACCCAGAAAATAAATGTTAATCATGAGCGCAGCAAATAATATGAGAGGCAAAAGAAGAGTTCAAGAAAGATTCTGTTCTTTTCTAGCCACTATTTTCCAACCTCTCAAAATTTTCAGCTCCTGGGGAATTTAGGAGGCCTAATGCATATGGTTAAGAACTGCACAATTGCAATACAAAAAGAAAAGAAACAAAAAAACCCGACAACAGCACTAATCCGACAACAATCCGACAATTTAAGTCCATGAACATAAGGTCAGGATCAACACTAAAGATATTACAGATATTTTACCGCCACCCTTACGATTGCTTGTATCCAAGTCTACGTTGACGATCAGAATTAAAAACCAACAAATCCTCTGTTCAGAATCTGCTTTCAACAATAAAAATAAAATAAAAAATTTGAAAGTTTCTTCTTAAAAGTGGAACATTTACCAGGTTAGGGTTTCTAAGGAATCGACATGCAGTTTTCACTATTAATCAATTTAATTTCGGATTTACAAACAAGCAAGTATGTTAGGGTTTTCCCAATGAATGGTAAAATATAAACTATTTTTGAAACAGCAACAAAATGATAATAAATCGAAATTTCGAATATAGGATTTAGGATTCAGAAAGAGAAGTGTTAAGAAAATCTCATCAGCATCAGAAGAAACTCCGCACCTGTAGGATGAATACTAACCTAAGTATTCATCAGAGCTTCGCGTTTCTCTCCCATTAGAAGAATTCTTTTCTGCCAAAACTGCTCTCTGTTCTATCATGGTATGAAATTGCTGTCGAATTTTCCATTCTCTGGTGGAATTTGAAGTAGATTTTCTCGACTTCCAAACCAAACACCCTCAATCAAGTAGCAGATTTTGCCGTTGATGAAAACGAAATTCAGACCGATTTCTCTCGTTTTCCTTCTCGAAATTTCGGAATAACAGGCTGACATCCCAGACACGAGAGAACAACGTATAAATAGGGCAAAGGAGCGTGAGTTATACGCGTTTAGTTTGACTGGTCAAAGACGTGTGGTTTACGCGTTTCTTTTATTATTTTTTCAAAATATTATAATTGTTTTAATTAGGTCTTAATTAAAACGAGGAATTAGTAAATACAACGTTAATTGCCAATTTTTTTTCCTTTAAAATAAAAATACCCACAATTCCCTCCTATTTTATTATGTAATTTTAGTTTATTTATTTTTAATAAAGCTTTAAATTAATTTCAAATGATTTTTTTTTATCAAAATCAATAGAATAATAATTACCAATTTTATGTAATAAAAAAAATATAAATATATTTCTAAAAATTATAAAATAGAAGTTAATAAAAATTACGATAATTTATTTAAGTTTATATTTTAAAAAAACGAAAGAAAAAGAACGCCGCTGCTGTCTGTGAGCGTTTCCGTACTCTGCGTCGGGATACGAAGCCCCAAGCTCGCGATGGGCTCGATAGACGTCCAATCAGACAATGCCGAAGATGGATCCGCCGCCGCCGCTTCTGCCGATGGACATCAAAAGAAAGTTTCCGCCGATCCTATAAACCAGACATCTAACGAACCAGACGGAGCTACGCCTGAGAAGCCTAAAGAATTGGAGCCGACGAAGAAGCGTATGTCCTCCATGCTTCCTCTCGAGGTTGGGACCCGCGTCATGTGCCGCTGGAGAGACGGGAAGTACCATCCCGTTAAGGTCATCGAACGTCGGAAGTTGCAGGCTACTGGTTTTAGTGATTACGAATACTATGTCCATTACACCGAGTGTAAGATACTTCTCTGAAGTTTGATTTAGTATGTGGGTTTTTGGTTTTGCTTGCGTGGTGGAAGAATCAAGCTGGAATTAGAAATTAATGATTAATTTTTTTCTTTTGGGGTTCCAGAATTTTTTTGATGTGTTGTTTAGGGTTTGCTTGGTGACTTAGGGTTTATTTCTTTTGGTCAATTTAGGGAGTTTGACCTTTGGATTGAATGATACAAGTAGCTCTTGCAGCAATGGGATTTTACATTTCTTTCATGGACCGGTTAATTGATCGAATAAATGGGTACACCCATTTTTCTTTAACCGTAGCGTTCGTTGCTAAATTGATTAGTTTCTTCTGTGTGGAGTTTGGAGTTCTCTTTCTTTCTCCTTACCTGGATTTTATGATAGTCAATAGGAGACTTGATGAGTGGGTGAAGCTTGACCAACTTGATCTTGAATCAGTTGAGACTGTTGTTGATGAGAAAGTGGAGGACAAGGTAAAGTTTAATTTTCTCTGTCCCTTTCAGTTTTAATAATTTGACCTATCCGCTTCTGAAGGCTTGTCACTGTTTCTTGTATGGAAAACTTAAAGGTTATCCTTGGGCATGATTTGGTCCTTTTGGAATCCATGTTTTACTTGTAAGTATTTAACATGAGAATCTCATTCTTGCACTTGCAGGTAACAGGATTGAAGATGACCCGACACCAGAAGCGGAAGATTGATGAAACGCATGTTGAGGTATGCATTTTTAAGGATGCGGCGAGTCCTTTGTTAAAAAACATACTACATAGGTATTTGCTAGTTATAGGTAAAAGAATTCCTTGTCACATCCACCAGCTGTGGATGTTTGGGCAAGCAGGAAACTCTTTTGTCAATCGTAAGGCAATTCTGTTAGATAGTGTAGTAAAAAATATGTTAATATTTATATGTTGTGATATTAAATTGGAGTGTCTAACAAAATTTCCCTGCCTTCATTATGAAATGTTTTCTTATCTTTTTTCAATTGCATAGGGCCATGAGGAACTTGATGCTGCTAGCTTGAGGGAGCATGAAGAATTTACAAAAGTTAAGAATATTGCAACAATTGAACTTGGAAGATATGAGATTGAGACATGGTATTTCTCCCCCTTTCCACCAGAATACAATGACACTACGAAGCTCTATTTTTGTGAGTTTTGTCTCAATTTCATGAAGCGCAAAGAACAGCTCCAGAGACATATGGTGAGAGGTTCTCCAAATTCTTTCTTGTGGTAGTTAGTAATGATTTAAGTCGGGATGTCTGTAAATGGAACTTTGAACTTTCGTTCTCGACAATGAAACCCTTTGGTTGCTGATTGCTGATATTGTCTTGGGCATACGATTTTTCTTTTTAATTTTTGTGAAATAGTGTGCAAGGTGCATTATTTTCATGTGTCAGACCATTTTTCTTAATGTCTAACTGGCTGGACGAAATTATATGCTCAGATATGCCTTATTGAAATAGTTGAGTTATAAGAGTTATTGAACATTTACTACTGTTGGCCTTATTTCAGCCTGTTGGCTGCTGCTTCGTGTTTTAACATAGTAAATGTTGTCTGTGCTTGAAACATCTTGGCAAATGATTTTTTACCTGTCCCCAGTTAGAGATGTGAGCATTAATTATGAGAGATTGATTGTTGATGTGCAGCAGCTTGATTACGCACCTTTCTTTCATGTTAAGCCACCCATACATGTATGTGTGTGTAGACTCAGCTATCATTAAATATAATTGTGAACTTGTAACACAAATTGACATTTTTATTTCATTGTCAAAAGCACCGTGTTTTCTATATTTATAATATAGACAAATACGATAAGTTTGTCCCTTTGAGAACATCTAACAATTATAATATGATCTTCAGATAGGAAATATGATGTATTTTCTTACAATGATCCCTTCAGGAACACCAAATAAAATTGATGGTTGGTTTTGCATGATTCATTATCATTATCCTTTTGTTTGTGCATAATACTAACAAACCATCTTAAACTCGTGCTTTGTCCATGTAGAGGAAGTGTGATCTCAAGCATCCACCTGGTGATGAAATATATCGAAGTGGTACTTTGTCAATGTTTGAGGTATGCTCTTAATTAGGTTTGCAGCTGTGAACCTCATTGTTTTATTATCTCGTTCATCATCTAAATACCTTTTTCTTTTCACTTTTGGTTTCTTTAACTAGTTTATCATTAAAATACTTTTTTTTTCTTTTGGATTGTAGAAGTAATGCCATTCTGATTTTCTGGTTTATTTTCTGTTTGCTTGTCAATGCCTCAGTATTGGAATATCGACTATTTTTTAAACAGTTCATGCAACCCTTGACATCTCCTGTACTAGCATTTAGCAAAACTATTTTAACCTGTCATAAACAATAAAAAATAATGCACTTGAAGCTATAGGATAATGTTTTTATTATTGCAGATTGAAAATTCCTCGTATGACTTTTTCTGCTAATTTTTTGCTGAAACAGGTTGACGGAAAAAAGAACAAGGTCTATGGGCAGAACCTCTGTTATTTAGCGAAGTTATTTCTGGACCACAAGACTCTATATTATGATGTGGACCTTTTTCTATTTTATATCCTGTGTGAGTGTGATGATCGAGGGTGTCACATGGTTGGATATTTTTCAAAGGTAATTTTTGGTTCATCATAACTGCTATTCAAATTAAAGTGGTATGATTCTGAAGAATGACGAAATAGAGTAGTGTTTTCTTTGTTACTACTGTAATTTTATTTTCTTTAGGGTGATGAGGAGAGAGGAGAAAACATCACCTTACCTCTAAAGGACGTGTCAAGACATGAAACTCTCGAATAGGTTTGAATTTAAAGGGAGTATAATAATGACAAGGTTTGGGTAAGGAGATTCATTTATGAGCGAGAAAAATTGTAAGATGCGCCAAAATATTTGCTCAAACAGTATAGGCCATACGAAATAGCTGTCCTTAAGTAATTTCATAGATTTTAGGTTTGTTCTGAAAGCTGACCTGAGATAGCTTGAATCAAGTAGTCCTGGATATTATGGGAAAAGCACTGTTGCAAAGAGAGAGGTTGTCCTGCTTATCAGTTCATTGGAGACCATTTTATATTTGTCCAAATGCAAGTCTTACTATCCTTCTCCTTCAAGTTATAAGCATCAAAGAGAGATGTTTTCCTGTCCTTTTTTCAAATTAGTGGAGTTTGCAGGGTTGACATTATTTAGGAGGGCTACCCCGAGCGTACCTTTTTCTAAATGGAAAAATGGATACAAGATAGAAGTTTAAATTTAATTTATCTACTGTTCAATTCTTCTAAAAAGTTAAGTGTACTAATCAATATACAAGGGTTTTTTATACATGATATACTCTCTGATCCATACTTTCGTTGTTCCTTTTATCTTCGGTGGGCTTGTGGATGTTAGTGCTAGTAGTGAATGGTATAGAAATAACGAAACTTGTGTCGTGTGGATAATGAAATGTAAGATGAATTCACGACAAATTGCTTTAGAACTTATAAGCTGAGAACATTATTATGACTATATTATATGTCGGCGTGCAGGAAAAGCATTCAGAGGAATCCTATAATTTGGCATGCATTCTCACCCTTCCTCCTTATCAAAGGAAGGGCTATGGAAAGTTCTTAATGGCTTTTTGTAAGTTCACCACATGCCTTAAACTGCCTCTATTTTTTTGGCTTATTGTGTCTGCAACTAGCGACCTTGATTAGCTTTGTTCTCTAGCATTGAAAAGTATATCACGAGTAGTTTCTTGCCTGCGTGGTTTTCTCAAGTTCGGTTTGTTATTTTTGGGCATCCGCCTCTTTTTTTGGGTCACCGTCACCATGTTTTAACGGAGTGTTTTAATCTTCTATGAACCTGAGAGATCAGCTTATGAACTCTCCAAGAAGGAAGGTAAAGTTGGCACGCCTGAAAGACCTCTTTCTGACCTTGGGTTGGTGAGCTACAGAGGATACTGGACCAGGGTACTTTTGGACATCTTGAAAAAGCACAAGGGGAATATCTCTATCAAGGTGTGCATTTTTGCCTCTTATTGAAATTCAGTGTTTGCTGTCCGGTATTGACTCGACTAAGTCTTCGACAAATTTTAAAACATTTGACTGAAGTTACTTTGTTCCTAAAAATTTATGTTAATTGCTCTTGGAACAACTCCTAGAGCCATAAGATTTTGTATCTGATAATGCTTGGCACATTGGTCGTCCCTTTATGGCAGGAGCTAAGTGACATGACAGCCATCAAAGCCGAAGATATTTTGAACACACTTCAGAGCCTGGAGTTGATTCAATACAGGAAAGGGCAGCATGTTATATGTGCCGACCCCAAGGTGCTGGATCGTCATCTTAAAGCTGCTGGTCGTGGGGGCCTAGAGGTCGATGTTAGCAAATTGATCTGGACTCCATACAGAGAACAAGGTTGAAGCTTTCCAAACTCATAATCAAGTCTGATGGTATCTATTCCAACTCTGGATGTACAATAATTGTGTAGAAGTGTAGTATAAAGTATTAGCTTTTCCATTTCTATCTGCTGAATGTATGCCTGGACAATCAAATACTGTACACCTTGAAACTAGAAATGGTAGAAACCTAGCTCTTGTACATCACCACACCTGTTGCTATTTCTTCGACATTTTGGTTTGTTTTACTTGTGTGTATCTCTTAACGTTTGATTCAGGTGATGTTTGGTTTGGTTATTAAGAGATCATTCTTGACTTGACCGGCTACAACATATTTATTTAATTGTAGAAAAGAGGGAGGAGATTTCTCTATCGGTTGGAGATTTTTTATCGTTTGGAGTGGAGAATGAAACCTTACTTATAAGGGTGTGAAAACTTCTCCCTAACAAACAACTTTGAGTGAAAGTTCAGAAGTGAAAACTTAAAAAATACAATATATGCTAGCGGTGTACTTGGAATGTAACAAATGGTATCGGAGCTAAACATTGGGCGATGTGCCAGCGAGAACGTTGAGCTCCCAAGAGGGGTAGATTGTGAGATCTCACATCAATTCGAAAGGAGAACGAAACATTGCTTATTATGGTGTATAACCCTCTTTTTAGCAGACGCGTTGTAAAACCTTGAGAGGAAAGTTCAGAAGGAAAAGTCCAAAAAAGATAATATTGTTAGCGATGTACTTGGACTCAAGGAAAAGTCCAAAAAAGACAATGTCCAATGACCCTGTTTTTCTCCGTCCATTGCTCGTGAAGGCTGCATCTCCAAAAGAATGAGTCCTTTTTGGTGAAACCAGAAATGAAAAGCCCTTCTGATCAAATTTCCTTGGGAAAAAGGAAGCAGATTTCACTGCAAAAGCCTCATGTAGTAAAAGTGATTTTCTTTTTCAATAAGTTGCATTTGCATCCTCCCTAGGTGAAATCGTCATAAAAATGGCATTCCAAACTAGGGGAATTCGAATAGAAGGATATCAAAATTTTGAATGTTTTGCCAAATTGACTTGAATGTTCGAGATGTCTCGTTAAGATGATCGATATAAGGGTCAGTTTCCAACGAATGTGTTCAAGCAAGCCAAGATGGTTGATGTGTCTCGAGACATGGGATGAGATCACAATGGTTGTGCTCTTGTGGACCGAAATGACAATGAAAGGCGACATTGTTGTATCACAACGATTGAACATGCACGCGCGAACAGTGTGTGTGGTCGAACATCCAAATTAACTTGGATGTTTGGGATGTCCCGTTAAAATGATCGACACAGAGGTCAGTTTTCAACGGGTGTGTCTAAGCAAACCAAGATAACCGATGTGTCCCAAGACATGGGACGTCACGGTTGAAGATGTACCACCGTGAAATTTTGTCCACGGTTTCATTAAGTGTCTTCATTTTCTTCAGATCTGTCGCAGGTGCTAGAACTTGCAGCAGGGGATAATATAAACAACTAAACAAGTGATTTAGAATGAATACTTCACTCAAATTTGAAACTTGAATTATGAAGATTTGAGTTACAATCACATCGTCTTCATCACTTACGATTGAAACACAACCAAAAACTAGAAACAAAAACAGAACATTTACAGACCTCTCCAATGAATCTAAGATTAACCATTTCATCAAACAGTCGTAATCTGAAGCCGATGCTTCGGAACATGAGTCTGCTGAATCTGCAAGCCCTGTAATACAATTCCACCTGACCTCCTCTTCCAAAGATTCTCCATTTCCCCTCTTTCTTCTCCGCCCTTCTGCACTCGCCGGACCACCGGCAACGGCGGATCCAAATCCACAACGCTTAATGATTCACAATTCCCATTTTCACAAACACCCTTCTTCTTATTTCCAAAAGCTGGAGTGGGTCTTCTTCTGCTCCTACAACCGTTGACACCCGCTGTAGATACCGATGCAGCGGCGGCGGCGACGGCTGTGGACCTGGTGGTGCCGGTGCCAGAGGGGGATGGGGAAGCCAAGAGATTTTTGCTGGAGAAAAATTTCTTCAGCTTAAAGTAACCAGCGGTGGGACTGTTCTCATTTTTGGTCGTAATCAAAATCCTATGGGAAATTGGAAGACCTGCAACTCTGTTATTCCGCTTCACTTGACCCATACATCCGATTCTCGGCGACAAAGGGTCGCCGGAAAATGACTCCGAACGGTCCCGGTCGCATCTCGGCGGCCGGCAGTCTTTGGTCGCCGGCTTAGAACAGAGCATCGGCAAGAACATGTTTTTCTGACGAATATTTGATGGATTAAACCGATTGTATCTGTCACCCATCTCTAATTTCTTCCCTCTCTTCAAGAACGTAATGAAAGAGAAGAAGACAGAGCTTGGAGCTTGATGCAAAACCAGCAATGGCTTCCAAGAGCTCCTCCTCTGTTTCAGCTGCTTTGTACAGAGGAGGAGAGAGAGGAGTAGGAGGAGGAGAGAGAGAGGGGTTTATTGGGAAGTTAACAAAGAAGGCCAAATGGGAACCAAAATCTTGGCAGTGTCATCAAATTGAACTAAAAATCCATGGAAGTTCGTCAAATATGAACAACGTTGATCGAGTCTTGGCTCTTGCCGGTTTGTTGCTCTTTTGGGATGTTAATAAATACTCCACACGTTAATGTTTGGCTCTGATATTAATATCAACCTTGAGGGTAATAGGATCAAAATGTCCACATCGTCACGTTTTATTATCATTTATCGTCGTTAATCCTAAACATCAACTAATCTAAATATATCACGATGAAACCTATTAGCTCATACCCTTAACTCTAAACGACGATTTAGAGTATGTAGGACGCTATCCTTAATAGTCTACTATGGGTAAAAAGTCAATATCTCGGGATCTTGGGACTCAACGTAACTAGATTGTGGGACAGGGTTGTACTAACATTCTCGATACTAGAAAAGTCTAAATTCGAGGATACTGAATTTTGATATCCTCGACAACTAAAAGACTGATAGGTATGTTACCTTGTCTCATTAATTTACTTAGGGTATTAGTCGTCGAGATAAAAAATTATTATCAGTTTTCTAACATATAGAATGATTAACATGTCGATGAAAGGTTTCGTCTTGTTTCGTTTACTGATTGACATGATAGCAACGAGAGAGACCGAGAGTCAAGAGTCAAAGATTACGAGGTAAAGATGGATTTGGATTGGTGGTGTGTGGAAATTTGGTTAAGTTGGAGTAAAGTGAATGAAGAATCTTTAATAATAAGTGGTCCTTTATTTCTCTCTCTTTGAGTTATTTTAGTTCATGCCAACTTCTCACGCTATACCCATTGCTTTTGGTAAAATCATGTGCCTTTGTCTCCTTCCCTCGTTCTAAAATAGATTTTGTTGTGAGATTCTACGTCGATGGGAGAGAGACCGAAACATTTTTTTATAAGCGTGTGGAAACCTCTTCCGAGCAAACGCGTTTTAAAATTTTTAGAGAAAACCCAAAAAGATAATATCTACTACGATGGGTTTGGGCTGTTACATTAATTCTACTCTATTTTGTATTCATATGTGTTTTTAGTTTCATGTGTTTTATGTCGAGTTAGAAATTTGTTGAAATCTTTCGAGACGTGTATTTACGTTCTTATGTTTTAATTGTTCTCGTAAAAGAAGTATTATATTCACGTAGATTTAACTTGATATTTGAAGGTATCGTATTTCCATTTAGATTGGTTTTAGAAGTACTATGAAGATTTAATAACAAGAATGAGAAAGGGTTAAAATAAAATATGACTTTTATAAGTTACGCATCTCATTACGTACGAACTTATTTGTTGGCTTTCAAATCACCGATCAAACTATCAAATTGTGAATGGTTTAGATCGAAACACGTGGATGGTTTAGATCGATCATGGATGGACGGTAGGGGGACTTGCCACGTCAGAAGGTAGAGCATATGTAAGTCACGTGCTAGTGAAAAAGAACCACCTGATGAATGAACTTGAGAAAAGGAAGCATGTGGGCACGTGGGAAGCACGCTAAAGTCGCATTTGGTATCCCAAACTTATCATGTGCCTTTTTTAAATTTTTTTTATAAAAAAATTATTTATCCGAAAATTTTCATTTATTTACTTTTTTTTTTAAGCTTCTTCAAACTACATTTAATTTTTTAAAATATTTTTTATACTACAAACAATTCAATATGGAGAAATTATTATATTTTTTATATTATTACTTTTTAAGGATATCAACAACAAAATTATTAATTCTTGAATGCATAGTTTGAATTATTGTTATTTTAAAACCAAAATCAGATACCATATCATGGTCAATTAGTTGGTGCACACATGTGAACCTCATTTTATTCTAATTTTTTTCCTATTAAATTAATACATGGATCTCATTTTATATTCACTTAAAATAAATAAATAAAAATGTTGTGGTTGGTAATAGATTTCTAAAATTTTAAAAATATATAATAAATTTCTAAACTATATGAAATTTTAATTAAAACATTTAACTTTTTTATTAAATTAACAAAATACTAGAGATAAAATTAAATTTTGTATGATACTAAGCTTTTGGTTTGATGTCTAGTTGGTTTGTAAACTTTATCAAATGTAGAAAGGCCAATAACTTATCAGACACAAAACTTAAAAACTCGATTACTTATGAGAGATAAAATCAAAAGTAAAGGGACTTATTATATATTTTTCGAAATCAAAAGTTTTAAGATCTATTAGATATTGTTTAAAGTTTAAGAGCCTATTTGATAGAAACTTGAAACTTCAGGGACTATACTAATGAGCTACATACACTAATTTAGTATTAAAAATATCGTTAAAATCTTGAACTATATCTGATCCCTGACGAATAGCGTTACAGTTAGTTGGGGAGTCAAGTAATATACTATTCTCTAGAAAAAGAAGAAAAAAGACGGAATATTTGATGAATTGAAGTAATATATATATATATATATATGATAGATATATATTTGTAAAAAAAAAACCCCCAAAACAGTAGAGGATGAGAGGCAAAAGAAGGTTTATTATTTGGAGAAAGGCAACAGAAAGTAGGAAGGGCACATGTGTGAAGATTGACCAATCAAGCAAAGCTAGCAGCCATTTTGTGCATTTCAATTATTAATGCCTTTTGGTCCCAACAGAGATTTTAAAATGTCATAAAACTTTCAAAAGTGAATAATAATAATAATAGTAATCGACAAACTTCCCAAACGTGCATGTGTTATGGGCATTAAATAGCAGTAGTTGTAAAGCACCAAGATAGAGTTGGCTGCTTTTGTTTGATCCTCTATGCTACTTTCTTCTTCACTTTCGAAATGACTAAGAACCTAACTAATGTAACCTATCTAATTAACAAATTCTCGATTGTTCTCACAGGATAAATGTCTAGTCCTACTATATTTGTTCACCAAGATACATCATAACATGTAAATCCCAAATAGGTAACGACCAAGACTTAAAACTCATTCGCTTTGAATCCTTAATTACTTACATGACTCTCGTCCACTACTAAATCAACCTATAGTGGTTACAAGATAAGGAAATGATTGATCAACAAATCTATTTTTTAAGGACAAAAAGAACAAAAAAACTAAAGGCACTTTTGCCCCACAATTCTAATGAGTTTATATAGCCTAGACTTAAAACGGGTTTTGGCTATACTGAAGAACAAGTTATAGAAACTTACATTCATCTAATTTATGCATGGATTAATGAAAGTGTTTAAGTGTGTATGCAGGTTCAGCTATAAATTTGGGAATCTTAGGTTCATAGAGCATAAATTAATGGGATAGCTTGAATGAACAAACTTGTAGTAAGTAAAACTACTGGTCAAAATAGCTCGACTTCATAATTCTAAACTATTTAAAACCATCCATAAATTAAGCATGCTGTTAATGACTATTATCAAATAAAGTATCGGTAGTTCTACTTCCATACATAAATATAATAATAATCAAATGTAATGAAACGCACACATCGATCATGTTTGTTGATTACGTGTTAGGTGTGAGTACTAATTATTGACCTTTCCATCATACCAAGTTTGAATATAAAACAGAGGTCACCATCAAATGTAACAAAGGCTCTGACTAGGAATCCGCCATCTATTTATAATAATTTTCGTGTATCAAATCAAATAGAATTTCTACACCTTACTAATTAGCAAAAGCTATTTCAAAAATATCACTACCATGAGACTAACCTTTATACTCATGCTCTGTCTCGTGTCTCCAAGTTCTACTCAGCTGTCAATTCCTCGATTCTTGAGTGAAAGTTATATCCACGCATGAGAATTAGAGATTTGTCTAGCATTATGTCCAAAAAAATGTCCAATTGCATAAGAATTGTAGATTCTCAACGTATATTGATATAAACTTTAGTCTTATAATTCATCAGTATGCTCCTGAATGAAATTGCTACAATGTTACAAATGGAGGAAAAGTAGAAAAAACATACTTGTGGATGCAAGCTTGGAAGAAAATTTGTTACTCCGGCAGCCATTAGTTTGTTTCTTGGGGGATTTCATTTCCTGTCACCTTTCCAGATCCAAAATCAAGGCTAAATCTCCATTGTTGTTCTTCGTTGCCATGCCCATCATCGGCCTGAGATCAGATCCTAAACATGACAATTGCTCATTGCAGATGGACAGAAATTTGAGGAATAAATCAAGATAACCAGACTGAAAACATTTGACGATTGGTCCCCACAAAAGTTGTTGACAGTGCTAGGATAGGGATGTCGTGTCGTTTACTTCATGCTGAGGTAGTACTACCTTGTCTTGCATTAACCCTGATCCAACGTTTTCTTCTCCAAACGGTGAGGTTCCATCTGGGCCATCAATCATAGTATGTGTCTCTCCAGCAGACTCATCATTTGATGTTACGTCTCTAACATCTTCAGGTTCTTTGAAAGATTCAGGATTGAGGTGGGAATGCATTTCAGAATTTGACGAAGATGGGGATGAAGATCTGAGACTCAGTCCTTTAGAAAGGGAAACATACTTGAAAACTAGATGTTGGTATTGATTGAGTAGCTCTTCTACGTCATTAAATGTAAGATCCCCAACTTGGGCAAACAAATATGGATAATCTCGGAAGGCTTGCTTCCTTGTGTGATCATTTAAAAGCATAGCTGCACCCTTGTTCTCCAAATCTGAGAGTGTTGAAACTTCCGTTACTGTTGACTGGTATTTGACATGTGGTCCCTCAGTGCTTGGCTTTGATTCTGGGGAGTTGGGTCTAACTGCAGGTTCTGTTCCAGAATTTGAAGCTTGAGAACTGGTTTCAACAAGTTCTGAATTGCGGGCAACTCGTTCATCCAAGTTACTTTTATTAGAAGAAGATTCAACATCAGTAGATAGCCCAGATAGGAGTGCTCGAGCAGATTCCATGTTTTTTTCAAACTCGGTTTCTTCCATTGAGAGGGCATTTGCGTCAATGTTTGAGATAAAGGACTCGGCTGAGAGTATGTTTGTGAAAAAATATGCTGCTTCTCCAGTTAATCGGGATTGTCCCCTGTACCGTTGTATATATAATAAATTTGAGTGCAGTTGTGGAGGGTTTGCCTACAAGAGATTGTGCATGAAAAACACATTTATGAGCATGATGTCAGAAATTTCTATAGTACTACGATGACTATATCCTAAAAGGTGAAACAATAAAATTTGTATGGTGTTTATCACCAACTTTTCAGTTTAATGCCAAACAGAGATGATGAGAATTTGTTGGTGACATTTCTATAAGGAAACAACAAATTTTCAAACGCTATGTAAGAATATATGCTCTAGCATGAAAGAGTTTCTTCATAAGTAATAGATATGGGCAAACCAACTTTAACTATTCATATTATAAATCACCTTTATGATAACATAAATAAGGACGGGAAGGAACTCATCAGCCCCTGGAGGATTCTCATTTGAAGCAATAGAAGCATTAAGTAGCAGGTTACTGATGACCTTACAACAGCCAAGGAGACACACAAGCTTGTCTCTTGGAGCTTTGTACATGTTAATCTTCAAGAGTTCCTTCTGAGCAAGCTGCCAATAAAAATGTAAACATGTAGGTGAAACTAGTATTAATGACCAACAAAGATTCATATGGTGGAAAATTCCACATAATGATTGCAATGCATGACCTAGTTCAACACAAAGTTTCAGCTAAAAAAGACATGACATGCTGAAAACAAACTTTGAAGTAACGAAGAGTAAGAGCAAGCCTATGTGGAAGAAACTTTGATCATATCGCAAGGGGGCTTTCATAACAGAAGTTTTGACCAAGCCCATCATGCATTACAGAACCAAGGGGATTTCGTAATCATTGAAAATAAATATGCAATACAATTTAACGTTTCTCTTATGTCCTCAACTTATTCCAATAGGTATCAGCTCATCTGAGAATAGGTTCTCCAGCAATTCCATCTACACTTCGGCATTGCCCAAGAATAGGAAAACAACAAGGCTATATAGTTTGAGATACATAGTTTTAACGTATACTTGAATTTCTAAATAGGAAAGATCTATCATGGAAATGTTTCGTAGATGATAAACTATCACTGGATAAAGTGTCAATTAGATTCCTGATTTGAACTTATGAACAATTCTAAGAAATGGTCAAAAAATGTAATGAAACAACTAACTTCAAAGTATGATTTTTTATGCACAAACAAATAATCATGAGGATGTAAATTTTACGATAGAGGAGATGATTGATGCAAAAATTATATGAAGATCTCTTGACTTTGACCATTACTCACCAACCATGATGATTCGTTCTGGAAATTTGGTTTGATATCCAGATTTTCTGGCCTAATGAACTGCTGAATCAATGCCATCTTATCAGAAAGTTGTTCGTCAATTTTTACATCATCTGCAAGCGAAGCATATACACGAGAATATAACTTGGTCATGACATACTTCTCCAAGCCCTGCATTTCATAGACGATCATGCATTAGAAGAGAGAACAAATGTTGTGAATAAATAAATATCACTTAAGCAGCACATACTTGGGGTGTAAAGTGTGTGTATTGTAGGATCCATCCGAGAAGACTATTTATTTGCAGAGTATTCCCAAAGATATTGGCTTTTTTATAACATAATTTGTTAATAAGTTAACTATAGAAGGATGGGATCATTACGTGTCTTACTCAGATTACTTCTATATTCAACAATCAAATGGATTGTACGTAAATATATTATTTTAAAACTAAACCCTCTTTGTCCAGACATGTTACCGATTGATTAATAATTCACCTCATCCTCAATGTTGGGGTGAAAAAAAAATCATTATTAATTATAAATATTTAGTCTTCAATAGTAGTAAACTTACCTCACCAGCACTTTCCAGCTCTTCTTCTGAGCATCCAGACCAAAGTGGATGAGCTCTGAAAGCTCCCTCCATTTTGGCAAAGAATTCTTGTACAGAGGCACTGTCCCTTTCAGGGTCAGGAGCATTATTCGAAAATGATACAATAAAGCTGCCAGTATAAAGAGTTTAGTCAAAACTTTATGAAAATGTTAATTACTGTTCAAAATCAACAGTCAATAACATTATCCTCTAATTAAGAAAAAGATACACCTGACAAAAGATTATATCCAGAAGTTAAACAATCAACGTGAGTAATCACCACAAGACTCTTACTGTATAAGGCTACAAAATGCATATCGATCTGAAACTCAGACAGACTAAAGCATACACAGAGATGGGCACATCCGCGCATGTGTGTATATAACAGGTGTAGAAATCTTCTGCAGGAGTGTTTACAACGTTTAAGATTGAAACTATCCAAATTCTTCGGTATTAGGTAGTCACTTCAGGTATTACAATATGTCATGCAGGTGATATATAAAAGGGTATTCAGTTAGAAACCATTTGGCTATATCCAATGCTTTTGCCATTATGTCCATCTCTCGAATCTACACTTGTACAAGCGCTGAGTTCAGCTTGCACATAACACCATAACGAAACTCTGTCAGTTGGTACTAACTATATGTTCTTTTCATTTGAAGCCCAATAAATGCTACTCCCTCTGAGATTCCATTTATGAGAGTGCTTTCTCCTTCGAGAAGAAAATGAATCGGTTGGTTTTGGCTTTCATGGGCAGGCATTTGAATCTACAAAACGGAGGGCAACTATAACCAAAAGCCCAAATGAGGACGCTCATCTCTAGCGATAACTCAATCAAGTTAAGTAACTGTCACTTATCTCATATGTATCAATAACATTACCAACCTAAAAATCACAGTAGGCACTGAGTTCAGCTTGCACAACTATGCTAATTCATAGGTCCATCTTTACTTCTTCCAATGATGACCACGAGAATTTTCTCCAACAACTCAGAAATTTGAATTGCAATTAAACAAACAGCCGATTTAGATAGCAAGAAATTCAAGGTCCAGAAGAAAGAGCGAGAAAAGGAACAATGAGCAAGCATTGTAATTAAAGTGTAAAGAGATCATATTAAATTTGAAGGAAAGATCACGTGAACACTAATTGAAGTCAACAAATGTCCTATAGTTCGCACATATCGTTCGAATGGAAAACGAATTTACCTTTTAATGGATTTGACGAAATCTGAGGCTGATGGTTGACGCATACGCTCAAGAAAGTCATGCAGACCTAAAAATACGTCGGCGTTCTCCATTCCCCACCGGACGTCTAAAATTCCTGTCGATCCTTCACTAGTCGTCGAAGATCTTTGAGCTCGAAAATCTCTGAGAGCACAAAATTCTTAGCAAGAAGACGACAGAGGCACCTCCTCGCCATAATCATAATTAAATTCCGATTAATTAACGTCCTCCAAATTATGATTAACTGGGCTGGGCTGGGCTGGGCTAGCACAATCCACTCCCGGCCCAAAATAAGAAAATGGGCCCAGGTTTGAAGCCCAGCCCAATAGTGAAAATATCTTGGACCTAGCGATGTATGGTTCATGCTTTTATGAAATTGTAGGAAATAATTGAAATGAACCAATAAAATAAATAAATAAAATAGAGACAGTATTTTTTTTTTCAATATTTGAAAATTATTCAAATAATTTTTTTTTAAATAGTTATCTACCTTTTAAGACAAGAAAAATACATTAAATAAAATAATGAAAACAATTATGAATAATTAATTTCATGATTTTTTTAATTAAAAATTAATTAAATCAATCACGAGATTAATAAGATATTAATGACTCGTTCGAAAAGACTTTTAAAATCTTTTTAAACACTAAAGTCATTTTAATTATCATATATTCCATTCTTATATGAATTTCAATATTTATTTCGTTTTAATTATTATATTTCAGTCTCTTAATTTTACATAAATATGTTTTTTTTATCATTTTTACTAAATTTTATTATATATATATATATATAAAACAGAAAAAGCGGCATTAAATTATTATTAAACCCTACACGGAATATTAATTGAAGCATGGAATGGAAAATGGGTTATTTATGCTATATTTGTACTTAAAGAATATGTTTTATTCGAAAAAGTAAACAATTATTATGATATTTTAGGAAAATTCGATGCTGTTTTGCCTACTGTGTGAGATGACATGTACTCGACATCCACGTGGACCAATCAGATCCATTAAAAGTGACCGCTGGCGTTGCACACCGGAAAGTGGATATAAGCATCCAAAACTTCTCTCTCCATACTCTTGGATGGATGACCAAATCAAAAATAAGTGGGCCCCAAAAATAATTAATTAAAAAACGCTTTTTTAGCCACTTGCAACATTTTAATGCTTTTTTTAATTTTATTATTATTATTATTCAACATTTTCTTTTTTAAAATATAGGTAAAAATAATTACAAAAATTAAATAATTATGGAACGAATCTAACATATATAATATTTTCTAATTAAAAAGAATTTTAAAGACATAATATATATAGATTTTTTTAAAAAAAATAATAATAATAATTCTAAACACTAAAGATGCTTTCAATTGGTTAAATACATTATATATATAATTAAAAAAAGTCTTCGAACTTTTTTTTATTTTTTATTTTTTTTTAGAAAATGGGAAAGAAAGAAAATAATGAAGGAGCTGACGTGTATTTCCAAATATTTAGAACTGGTCGTCACTGTCAGCCATATCGTACGGTCCAGATTCACTCCTCACTCGCTGGTTCTCTTTTTATCCACTTCTCCTCCTCCTCCGCTTCTCAGTTTCCCGTTCTCTCTCTCTCTCTTAACCCACTTTCTCTCTCTAACGTCGCCGGAGAACCACTATGCCGCCTCCGCCAAAGAGGCTCCCTATCAAGAGATCCTCCAGCGAGAAGGAGATCCTCTTCGACCTCGCAGAACCTCCACCAATCGAAAGCCCTAACACCGCCTACGATCACCGCCTTCTCTCCATGCTGTCGCCGAGAAACAATCGGAGACATTCCGATGAGTTTCCTTGGTCGTCTCAGCATCTCCGTGCTTGTTGCCTCTGCCGTCGCCGCCTCGTTTCCGGCCGTGACATATACATGTACAAGTAAGTAAAAAAACTATCGATTAAATGGCTGTTCTAGGGCACAGTAAAATTTTAACAAGAAATTGATCGAAATTGATCGAAATTTCTCCTTGAATCTTGTAAATCGGTGTAAGTGATGGAATTGTTGAGTGAAATTGATGCGATTTTCGGTGCGGCCGTGTGGAAACAGGGGCGAGAGCGCTTTTTGTAGTGCAGAGTGCCGGCAGCAGCAGATGAATCAGGACGAGGCGAAGGAAAAGTATTCGAAGAAAGGACCGTCAGGACCGACCGCCGTAACAAAAGTCTCTGCAATTAATGGCGAGACTGTCGCCGCCGTGTAGCCGCCATAGATTACTTCAGATTTAAAGCAGCCGCCACCGCTCCAGCCTTCTATCAACGCATATAAATATAATATATATATATATATATATATATAAAGATGTTTCTGCGTACTTAAATGGGGTCACAAATTTTGGAGCTGCTGTATGTGAATGTGAATATTACCCTCTAATTTAAATTAATGTTTTTCTGTTTAATATATTTTTTTAATTATTATTATTATTTGTTATAAAAAGGACACAATAATCAATTTTGGCAATAATTGAAGTGATGGTCCAAAAACAAATAAGTTAAATCGATTAAACCGACCAAAAATCAAATCAATTGATTTTTTAAAATTTTTAGAAATAATTGTGTAATTGAATTGATCAAGATAATTGGATGGGACAAAATCGTCTTTTTTTTATTTGTTTGGGGACAAAATCGACTTTTTGGGTCGAGGACTTTAATTCATACGTGGAAATATTGTAATAATTTATTATTGGAAATTAAATATGATATTGTTTGAGAATTAAATTAATTTAACGATAATAAGGTCATGTTATTTTAAATGGTGGAGCAAAATTAATTAAAAAGGTCAACATGATTTGATATATGAAATGTTTTTTTCAAATTAATGTATAGTTGTTGAAACTTGAAATTGATGTTAAAAAAAATTAAAATTCGAAGAAATAATATTAAAAATATGAAAATTTCAGTTTAAGTGGTTCCACTTGATCAAAGACTTTAATGTTAGTTAATGTACAAAATAATAATAATAATAAATAAATAAATAAAACTAAAATTATAAAATATGAAAATATTTTTATTATTTTAAATTCTGTAATATTACTTTTTATATATATATATATAATGTTCAAAATTAGGAGCTAATTAAATTTTTGGACATAAATCAATATGGTAAAGTCTCACTTTGGAGGGGAACGAAACATTCTTTTTAAGAGTGTGAAAATCTCTCTCTAACAGACGTGTTTTAAAACCGTGAGTCTGGCAGCGATATATAATGGGTTAAAGCGGACAATATCTACTAACGGTAGCCTAGCAGACTTGCGATTGTGCGGCACTCACTTTTCAATGACAAGTGAGCTAAGCCAATTCGTTCTTACGTCGCCTACGGCCAAGCAACATATGCTCGAGCCTCTGGCCTCAGTTTTAAGAGAAGGTTTTAGAAAACGAGGTCAGAGAAAGATTTTCGAAAGAGAGATTTTTGAAAGAGACGTTCTATAAGCAAGCAAGAGAAATAACAACAGCTCACAGTATATAACCTTGGGTAGGGAGAAGTTGACAACTAGTCGTATCCCTTATAATACATTCTGAGGCATTTCATGTCTGACGGGCCTAGACAAGATATTTCTAAAACGTCATACTTCTTAGAAATACATAAATAAAACACTAGAATATGAAAAGACATAAAGGGTTGGGTTTGTTATGGGCATGCGGCCATGGACAACACGCCTGTTATAATGATTATTTTGAACTAAATCGAGGAAAGCATCCTATATCTGTTTTCCATTAAATATTCTAATATATTTTTATTTAAAGAGTAGTTTTGAAACATTTTATGTATTAATTTTTAAAAATAATTAATAATAATTTAATATTAAAAATTAAGTAATAAATATTAAACAATAAAATGGTCATATTTAATTGATTTAGCAGCCAATCAAGACTTAGTTGATGTTGATGATCGTGAATTAAGGAAAGGCAATTAATTATTTGTGAACCCAATAATTTATTTATATAAAATTTGATTTTAATTAATACACTAATAAATCAACAAAATTAAATTTACTCGAACAATTAACCTATATAATGTGAATTAGTATGACTCGTTTTACAATTTTTTTTAATTAAGACATTGTTTATAATGAATAACGTGGATTCTTATTCTTTCTCCACTCAAAGACTTTTAATCTGATTGGTTGAATGATTGAAATTACCATAAATGATACAAAAAGTAGTTATAAAGAGAGGGTGAGAATTTAATATTATTTGTATCGATTCCTTAAAGTTAAAAACGTCATTTAATATTTTAATTTAGGTCACTTTGATCATCATAATATGTTTTTAAAAAATGTCATTATTATGAACAGAAGAACTCATAATTCATGTTTTATTCTAAGTCTCTCATGCGGAGCTATTTTATAATTGAAAATTTAATTATTAAATATTTTATAATTTAAATTTTCAATCAATTTAATTCTTTTATATATATATATATAATTATGAAGTTGAATAAAATATATATAGAGAGAGAGATAGAGTGTTGGTCGGGCAAGAAGAAAGGTCACTTGAGTTTTGAGTGCCGGGCAAAGGAAAAAAAAGCCATGATGATCAGAAAAAGGTAGTCTTGGTCACTACGTTGGCCCTATTTGCCAACGTTTCAGATTGTTGATGGATTGGGTCTTCGCATCAAATTTTCTTCCGAAAGGCGGAATTTGATCAGTGACTGGGAAGTTCGCTTCAGTCATTTGAGTCTTTGACAACCACTCTCTCCGGTGAAACTCCTCCTTGTTCTATGATTGATCTTCCCATTTTCTTTAGGCTCGGGCTGAAAAGAGTTTTGAATAGCAGTTTGAAAAGACTAATGCGGCGCAAAAGATATATATATATATAATGGTATGGCAAGCAAAAATGTATTTTTTAAAATTTAACAATAAATTCAGATTTGTTCGATTCAATCCAATTTAGTTTTATGAGACGTAATTTAATCCAAATAAGTTCATAGCTCAATCCAAATTGTACAGGTAAGTTGGGTTGATTAGGTTTATAGTTGATATGCGACGTTGCATTGAGAGACCTTGGCCCCGAGCAAAGAGAAAGTTGAGCCAAATGACTTGGCTTAGTGTAGAGGCAAGTTGGTTGTGTCGCAGACGATTGAACATGCACGCGCAGGCGGAGTGTGTGGTCGAACAAGCTTGGATTCCGTACAAGGGATGTTCGATTGTCGAACACCCAACTCTTTTTTTTTAAATACATGTCATTATAAATATGAAATTGCTCACGTGAATCTTTTAACTTATAAGGAATCTATTTTTATTTTCATAAACACGGTGATATAATTATAGAGATTATAATTGAAATATTGATTAATATAAGCATAGATACTCTGATCTAAAGTTAGAGATTCTAAACACTCAATCGGGATATTTTTATAAGAGATTCAAACATTGAACTTATAAGAATTGTAATATTAAGGGTAGGTCGAGAGATACGAACTTTTCGTGTTTAAACAACATCGATATGGTTGCCTAGTCACCTAGGAAAAGGCAACTTTTTAAAAATATATGTAAAGTTATACAAAAGGGGGGGACAAGGGGACAAGTACATGTGTGTACCAATGTTGGAAATCTCCATAAAAATGTTACATTAAAAAGTCACAAAATCAAGGTCTAGAACTTAGTAAACAACCCATGTAATTCTTTACCATTAATCATCAACCTTCCCAAACTGAGGGAAGACCATTTCGATCGTGAATTGTTACGTTACCTATTCTTCGTTTTTGATTGGATAAGGGAACGAAACATTTTTTGTGAAGGTGTGAAAACCTCTACCTAGTAGACACGTGTTAAAAAACTTCAAAGAGAAGCCCGGAAAGGAAAACCCAAAAAGGATAATATCTACTAGTGGTGGGCTTGAGTCTTACAAAAGAATATTCCCGTAGACCAACACGAGTCTTTCTAATAAGTTTTGTCCTTACTCAAATGCATCTCATAAAAATTCCTAGGAGGTCACGTTATATAGAATTACTCCAAGTAAAACACGTTTAACCATGAAGTTCTTATGATTAGCTACCGAGAAGAAAAGTGCACGTTGTTGGTATAAGTACTAACTTTTATTTCCTTTTAGTATTTCTTAGTTTCCTTTAAGTAAAACACGCTTAACTATGAAGCTCTTATGATTAGCTACCGAGAAGGAAAGTGCACGTCGTTGGTATAAATACTAACTTTCATTTCCTTCAAGTATTTCTTAGTTATCCTATTCTCGTAATCGCTCTCATTCGAATCTAGTCTCGATTTATTCACGTACCTCTCTATTACTTAGACGGGTCGGATAGAAATTAATAAGAATTTGTTAAAAAATCAATTTTTTTTAGAAAGTTTAATTTATAATCAGTTTTTTTAAAAATGTACTTTATTAGCCAATTTGGAGGTTTTTTAAAGTAATAATAATAATAAATAAATAAATTTTTATTAAAAAAACAATGTTTTTAGGTAAAAACCACTCCATTTTTATTAATCTTTATGATAAATGTGTGGCTATGGTTTTCTAATATTTAGAGCCAATGTAGTTATAAAATAGAAGCTGGTTGCCCAAGTTGCCCACTTTAATTTAATACGAACAAAAATTAAAAAATATATATATTTAAAGCATATTATAGTTCCCGTCCTTTTACGTGGATGTCATTTTCACAAATTCGGCACTCATATTTTTTTAAGCAGTACCGTACGACGGTTGGAAAGAAAGATGACCTCACTTTATCGTAGAATCTTCACTAAGTAGAAGGAAATAGCCTGACTAATAAAGGTGCTTGTTGAGTAAGGCCGGTTTTCGAGTCCAAGCCCTTTGTTTGTATAGGTTGAGTCCATTTCCCACTACTTTCATTTCGTGAGATTCAACACCTTTATTCTTTACTTAAAGCCAAGTTTGAGATATGACTTTATGACTTCAATTATGACACTCGAGTAAATGAGAAGTATATGAATGAATCAATATCACGTCCAAATGAGAGTGATTCTGAGAATATGATGACTAAGAAATACATAAAAGAATTAAAAGTTAATACCTACACCAATACAGTGCAATTTCTTTTTCGTTGGCTCAATTACATGAACTTTATAGATTATAGTATTTTGCTTATCGAAAATTAAAAATAATTTCTCGAACAGCTTCGGGATGAAAATTTATAAATAAATATAAAAAAATTGAACATATTGATGTAAATATATGAGGCCCACCAGAAGTTGGGCTGTAAGCCCATTGAAATGAACATGATAAAATAAATAATAATTTATTATTCAATTTTGCTAGAAATACATCCAATAATAATTATTTCACATTTCACTTCATATATATTAAATATTAATTTCAAATGAACTTTTTAATAGATAATTTCTATAAAAAAAATTTATAATAATATTTCAATATAATATAATGTTTAATTATGAGGAAAAATCTCTCTCTACTGTCTCCCGAAGTTGGTTTCCAACCCTGAGTTAAATGTACATCTCTAACCGTTAATAAAATACAATAATTATGAATATATTGGTTTGCAATATTATTTATTGAATATATATAATAATGAAAAATAAAAACATAGAAATTGAATTATAGAAGGGAAAATGGTCAAGATGTTGACCCGCTGTAGCTGCAATAATATAGGATCCATCTCCCCGAAAACCACTCATTCAACATTGGGGAATTTATGTTTCACACAACACCACAAAAAAAAAACAAAAGAAATTAAAAAAATTAAATGTGTTCTTAATAGATTCCGAAAAAACTGCCATTTCAATCCCAATTTCTTGCATTAAATAGCACCGAGCTTGTTTTCGACGATAACTCAACGAGATCTTAATTGGACCGCATTCAAGCAATGGCAATGGCGATGATTCAGAGTTTGGCTCTGTTCTTGACCTGCATTGCAGCGATATGGATTTGCAATGAAAATATAATTGCGAGTGCTGCCTCACCGTTGTCGCCTCGGCCGAGTGCGGTGGATTGCCCGGCGGTGGTGTATGCGATACTGCCGTGCGTGAATTACGTCACGATCGGGAGCACGATGGCGATGCCCTCGAAAGTTTGCTGCAAGAATGTGGAAAGTGTGTTGAAATGGAATGCTAAATGTATGTGCGTTGGGTTGAAGCAGAGCGAGAGCTTGGGGATTCAATTGAATGTTACTAGAGCGATTGATCTTCCTGCGACTTGTGGAATTTCGACTCCGACTCCGCTTTCTGATTGCGGCTGTGCGTTTGATTTTATTCTTGTTTGAAATTTGTTTGTCTGCTTCGAATTGAGGTTTTATTTTTTCTTTTCTTTGCAGTTCGTCATCCCCCTGGTATGGCCCCTGCTACAGTTTCGTATAGTAAAGCGCCAGCGCCAACGACATTTCTAGGTGGTAAAGCGCCTTCGCGAGCTCCCGTTGCTGCAGCGCCAAGGATAGTTCCAGGTAGTAAAGCGCCATCGCAAGCTCCTGTTGCTGAAGCGCCAAGGACAGTTCCAGGTAGTAAAGCGCCATCGCAAGCTCATGTTGCTGAAGCGCCAAGGACAGTTCCAGGTAGTAAATCGCCATCGCGAGCTCCGGTTGCTGCGGCGCCAACGACAATACCAGGTAGTAAAGCGCCTTCGCGAGCTCCCGGTGCTGGAGCGACAACAACTCCAGGTATTAAAGCGCCATCGCAAGCTCCGGTTGCTGCAGCGCCAACGACAATGACTGGTAGTAAAGCGCCTTCGCGAGCTCCTGGTGCTACAGCGCCAAGGACAGTTCCAGGTAGTAAAGCGCCTTCGCGAGCTCCTGTTGCTGCAGCGCCAAGGACAGTTCCAGGTAGTAAAGCGCCCTCACGAGCTCCTGTTGCTGCAGCGCCAAGGACAGTTCCAGGTAGTAAAGTGCCATCACGAGCTCCGGTTGCTGCGGCGCCAACGACAATTCCAGGTAGTAAAGCGCCATCGCGAGCTCCAGTTGCCGCAGCGCCAATGACCATTTCAGGTAGTAAAGCGCCATCGCGAGCTCCGGTTGCCGCAGCGCCAATGACCATTTCAGGTAGTAAAGCGCCTTTGCGAGCTCCTGGTGCTGCAGCGCCAACGACAATTCGAGGTAGTAAAGCACCATCGCGAGCTCCAGTTGCCGCAGCACCAACGACAATTACAGGTAGTAAAGCACCTTCGCGAGCTCCCGGTGCCACAGCGCCAACGACAACTCCCGGCAGTAAAACGCCATCGCAAGCTCCCGTTGCTACAGCGCCAACGACAACTCCCGGCAGTAAAGCCCCATCGCGAGCTCCCGTTGCTGCAGCGCCAACGACGGCTCCAGGTAGTAAAGCCCCATCGCGAGCTCCCCGTGCTGCAGCACCAACGACAATTCCAGGTAGTAGAGCCTCATCACGAGCTCCGGTTGCCGCAGCGCCAATGACAATTCCAGGTAGTAAAGCGCCTTCACGAGCTCCCATTGCTGCAGCGCCAAGGATAGTTCCAGGTAGTAAAGCGCCATCGCGAGCTCCCGTTGCAGCAGGGCCAACGACAATTCCAGGTACTAAAGCCTCATCGCGAGCTCCAGTTGCCGCAGCGCCAACAACAACTCCAGGTAGTAAAGCCCCATCGCGAGCTCCCGGTGCTGCAGCGTCAACAACAACTCCAAGTAGTAAAGCGCCATCGCGAGCTCCTGATGCAGCAGCGCTAATGCCATTTCCAGGTAGTAAAGCGCCATCGCAAGCTCCCCGTGCTGCAGCACCTACTACATTTTCAGGTAGTACAACGCCATCGCGAGCTCCCGGTGCAGTAGCGCCAACGACAACTCCAGATAGTAAAGCGCCATCGCGAGCTCCCGGTGCAGCAGCGTTAATGCCATTTCCAGGTAGTAAAGCACCATCACAAGCTCCCCGTGCTGCAGCACCAACTACATTTTCAGGTAGTACAGCACCATCACGTGCTCCCAGTGCTGTAGCGCCAACGACAACTCCAGATAGTAAAGCGCCATTGCGAGCCCCCAGTGCTAAAGCGCCAATGCCATTTGCAGGTAGTAAAGTGCCATCGCAAGCTCCCCGTGCCGCAGCACCAACTACATTTTCAGGTAGTACAGCACCATCACGAGCTCCCGGTACTGTAGCTCCAACGACAACTCCAGATAGTAAAGCGCCATTGCGAGCCCCTGGTGCTGAAGCGCCAATGCCATTTGCAGGTAGTAAAGTGCCATCGCAAGCTCCCCGTGCCGCAGCACCAACTACATTTTCAGGTAGTACAGCGCCATCACGAGCTCCCGGTGCTGTAGCGCCAACGACAACTCCAGATAGTAAAGCACCATCGCGAGCTCCCAGTGCAGCAGCGCTAATGCCATTTCCAGGTAGTAAAGCGCCATCGCAAGCTCCCCGTGCCGCAGCACCAACTACATTTTCAGGTAGTATAGCGCCATCACAAGCACCAACAACAACTCCAGATAGTAAAGCGCCATCGCGAGCTCCCAGTGCTGTAGCGCCAACAACAACTCCAGATAGTAAAGCGCCATCGCGAGCTCCCGGTGCAGCAGCGCTAATGCCATTTCCAGGTAGTAAAGCGCCATCGCAAGCTCCCCGTGCCGCAGCACCAACTACATTTTCAGGTAGTACAGTGCCATCACGAGCTCCCGGTGCTGTAGCACCAACGAGAACTCCAGATAGTAAAGCGCCATCGAGAGCCCCCGGTGCTGAAGCGCCAATGCCATTTGCAGGTAGTAAAGCGCCATCGCAATCTCCCCGTGCTGCAGCACCAATTACATTTTCAGGTAGTACAGCGCCATCACGAGCGCCAACGACAACTCCAGATAGTAAAGCGCCATCGCGAGCCCCCGGTGCTGAAGCGCCAATGCCATTTACAGGTAGTAAAGCGCCATCGCAAGCTCCCCGAGCCGCAGCACCAACTACATTTTCAGGTAGTACAGCGCCATCGCGAGCTCCCGGTGCTGTAGCGCCAACGACAACTCCAGGTAGTAAAGCGCCATCGCGAGCCCCCGGTGCTGCAGCACCAACGACATTTGCAGGTAGTAAAGTGCCATCGCGAGCCCCCGGTGTCGCAGCACCAACGACATTTGCAGGTAGTAAAGCGCCATCGCGAGCCCCCGGTGCCGCAGCACCAACTCCATTTCCAGGTAGTAAAGCACCATCGCGAGCCCTAGGTGCTGCAGCACCAACGCTATTTCCAGGTAATAGAGCGCCATCGCGAGCTCCCGGTGCTTCAGCGCCAACGCCATTCCCTGGTAGTAGAGCGCCATCGCGAGCTCCCGGTACTGGAGCGCCAACGCCATTTCCTGGTAGTAGAGCGCCATCGCGAGCTCCCGGTACTGGAGCGCCAACGCCATTTCCAGGCAGTAGAGCGCCATCGCGAGCTCCCGGTACTGGAGCACCAACGCCATTTCCAGGTAGTAGAGCGCCATCGCGAGCTCCCGGTACTGGAGCGCCTACGCCATTTCCTGGTAGTAGAGCGCCATCGCGAGCTCCAGGTACTGGAGCGCCTACGCCATTTCCAGGTAGCAGAGTGCCATCACGAGCTCCCGATACAGGAGCACCGGTGCCCGCTCCAACTATGGCTCAGACGCCTGCTCCAGGTACGTTTACACAACCCCACTTTCTTTTCAAACTGGGGATATAATTGTAAAATCACAAAAACAAAAGTACAATAAATAAATATTGCCAAATATAGGGACCATCTTTGTAATTATTTTTTTTAATGGTTGCAGTTAATCCACCCGCACCAGAAGTGCCGCCAAGTAGTGCTCCGACAGGGCCACCAGCACCGGTGGAACCATCGGATGAGGACTCGCCGGTGCCGGCACCGTCAGATGCCCCATCTTTCACCATTTTCTGTAACCTAATCACGCCGCTTCTTCTCACCCTTCTTGCTTTATTCCGACCACTGTGATGCCATGGCGTCTCCAATTTTCTAATCACTCTATTTTTATTTCCACAATTTTGAAGATAGAAAAAGAAAAAAGTGCATTAATGCATTTCTTTCATTTTTCTTTAATTTTTGAGAATTATAGTTGGATATTTTAATAATGTTTTGTATAATGAAAAGTTTATAATATAATATTCATAATTATTATCCACTACTATCCTCCAAATTTGACTATGTAGCCCCATGTTCATTTTTAATTTGTCTTTCTTGTTTCGTTGGACCTTAGACAAGATTTGTTTTTACTCATCGAATACAACTTGTATGGAATCAAAGCTTGTTCAACCACATACACTGACTCTACATGCATTACATGCATTTTCAATCATCTGCAATTTAAACTGGCCACATTATTTGGCTTGACCTTGCCTCTACTTGGGGACAATGTTGCATCTCAAATCTCATCTTGGTTCCCTATTGACACGACCTTCATATCATGATGTCATCTCAAGTCCTGGGATGTCATCGACCGTCATAATTCACTTGGTCTTGCCTATCGAAAACGAGTTCATGTGTTGTTCATAACATCGGGACATTCTAAACATCCATCCATATGGTTGGTTTTATTAAGGTATTGGACCCTCCTAATCCATGTCATACCATTTACAGACTCTGTATCAGATAGCATGTATATGATCCCACCTTCGACACATGGGCTCGGGTGCAATGAGGGCACACCTGTGTCATTGCTCGAGATACTCATCTTGCAATGAATGTTTGCCCTCACTGTGATACACACATATGCCGCATGGTAGCTCGCTTAGGCCATAGGGTCCAGGGGTGATGGATAGCTTATACTATGTCTCCTCCTATGGTACATTTTGAAGTATTTCCAATCTGACAAGTGTAAACATTATTTTGGCAAATGAACATAAAGTGTCGTGGAGCGTCTGTTGGTGTCTGATCGATACCAAATTTCGCGAGCACTCATATTCCATATGTGCAAACTTGACTCCAAAACCACATGCACAAATTCCCTTTGAAACCCTAACTTTCGAGGTTAAAGTTTAGACCTACCCAACCCTTCAACAAGCTTTTATCTCCAACACTTATCTCCAACACTCATGTTGACATCCTTGCCTCTGTCTTACCTATGTCTTAGCTTAGGTTTCATGCATACATTATATGATGGGTTAGATACACAGTTCTCTTTCTGTTTTTGCCAACCCATCACCTAAACATGAATTTCTATATACACACACTATCTCTCACGCATCAGCATGATCAAAATGTGGAAGAAACGTGAAAAGTGTTGAAGTTTGAAGGGTCTGTGATGGCTGGAATTCCGATGAATTCAATCAATGAGCCACTGCGTCTGACAGTGATGTGAGTATTGGGCTATCAATGTCTCGTGCGCCCATGGTTCCTTCACTTATTCACACGATCACTAATGCTCATTTGATGTTTTTTGTGTTCTTTTTCTTTTGCATTTCAGCAAATCTGATTCATGATGAACTAATGCTTTGTAGTAATCACTCCGCGAACTGAAGTAATTTGATTTACTCTTTTGTCCAAGATTTTGGGGTTCTCTCTTCACCAAGGTTTGTGACTTCCTTTTGTTTGCCTTATTTTTTTTTATATATGCCTTGTTTCATTTGCACTCAATTTTGGTGCAAGAGGAGAAACTATTAAGTTTGTGTCGGATTAGTCCATCGGTGGCTTACTTGTTAGAAATCATGACCCTCCACAATGGTATGATATTGTCTATTTTGAACATAAGCTTTCGTGGTTTTGCTTTTGGTTTCCCTAAAAGGTCTCATACCAATAGAGATAGTTTTAAGCCGTTGAAAGGGCAATAGTGATGGTAGCTCCACCCATAAAACCAACAATGGCAGAGTAAGATAGAAAGTCAATCAGAAAACCCAACCTGTAAGCCAAAGTCAAGGATTCAAGGGTTTATAGAAGAATCTAAAACTAAACATACAAATGATCCCAAAGTAGAGGAAAATTGAAAGGAAAAAAATATATATATATATCAGATTCTAATGGGAACAGAAAAAAGTATTCAGCTATAAAGAGTATAAAGAGTATAAAGAGTTCCTTAAGGTCACTTAGAATACCTTACCCTTAGAATCCCTAGTGTGGCTTCAAAATAATTCTAAAGTCGCTTTCTGAACCACGATAGATGGATAGATGGAAAGTAAAAAGAATATATACATCTAGAAGAGTAGCTGTAAATGCATGCCGTAGATACTCTTCTCGATGTATATGGTAATCATTGTCCATGATATATACATTCTAGAAGAGTATATATGTATAGTAAATTCGAAAGTATATAGTGTTCAATGTCCATGATATAGACAATCAGAAGAGTATCGGGAAGATTCAATTCCCAAGACCAACTTCCAGGACTTCTATTGACCTTGGAATGTTCTTAGAGAATCATCTGCACTAAGAATGTCTCTTCATTCCTTGAAGAGATTTTGCTTTGGTAGAACCCCCCACCTTGTGAATGTACTGAGTATTGTTGCATAAGAATGAAAGATTTCTAATGTCAATCTCTATTGTGTTCAAGTTCGACATTGGAAGAGCCCCATGAGGTTCCCCTGTGGTGAGGAAACCACAGAAGAAAAAACAATGGAAGAAACCATCAATTTGGTGTGAAGTGTCGATATCCTCAACCATAACAACTATTAATGTTTGAGAAGGCATCGACTTGGGTACACAACTATTAATATTCCGTTACTAATTTGCCTAGAACTGGCCATGTGAGAAAGCTTCTGTTCTAAGATTGTAAGACTAAGTAATGTCAAAAATTCACCTCGTGGGCCACTCACTAATCAGGACAAGACCTTACACAGAAAGAGATCCAAGAAAAACTTCAGTATCAGTTAGGCCCATGTATACTTTTCTTCACAAGCTGTCAATGTTTGCATTTGAGTGACATTTCTTTAGGGGTTTTATGTGGAATAGAACAAGCAAATAGAAGTCTAAGAATGTGATCAAATGTTTCAAGTCAATACAAGGGTCGAAATTATATAAAGACAATCGAATAGGACAAATGATTCAACAAGCTGTGAGAAACCAGGAACTCAGATGGAGAATACAAAAAAAAAAAAAAAAAAAAAAAAAAAAAAAAAAAAAAAAAAAAAAAAAAAAAAAAA